ATAACCTTTAGAATTAGCTAAAATTTTGGTGTTGTTTTTACTTAATTATGCGAATATCATGATTTAAAAATTATAAATGAAATGGAACAATAATTTTGGAAGTCACTGTATATGTCTATTCTGCATTCAATATTTATTATTGATTGATATATTAAAGAGTGTTATTTGCAATACTTATGAAAAAATGATAAATGATAATCAAGACTTGCAAAACTCCATTCTGCTTGATCTGAATTACCAAGTGTTATCACAAAATTGTAATATCTTGAGTAATAATTTAAAACAGAAAAAACAAAACTTCAGTTTGTAACTGCTTGACCATTATTTTAGTATTAAAGCTCAAAATATTTGGTCCAGAAAAATGCATTTTTACATTAAAAATTTTTTTGTAAGTTTCATTTATTGCTGTATTTGATGTTGAATAAATTATAGCTTCTGTGTCTGATTCATACACATAACTAGGCTTCAAATTATTATCAACTACTCAAATAATAAATTCTTTTTGATTAAGTTCAAATTTAATTCTCATATTAATACATATTAAAATATATGCTTATTTGTTTTGAGCTGTTTTTGTTTTTAAAAAAGCTCACCAACTAATAGCAAAAGGCTCATAATATAATTCTTGAACAATAATATCAAGAGATAATAGTTGTCTTTTAAAATTTTGAATAGACATAAAGACTAAATATAAAGATTTAGGTGAAAATCATATTTTACTATTATTAATTAATATAATAATTTAATATTAAAATTTGATCAGGTGATTTGATTGATTAGCAGATTAACAATTAATTTAATAATAATAATAATAATAAACTAATAATATAACTATTATTAATAAATTAAATAAATTAAATTTGATCAATATTTTTAATTATTCTAATAAATCACATAAAATTTGGTATCAAAAATCAGTAAACTTTATTAAATAAAAATTATATTTTTATATAAAACTAAAATTGGACAATATTCTATTTAATCTAGTCAGTTAGTCTAAGCTAATCCTGATCTTGTATTTAAAAAAGAAAGAAGAATATAAGAATTTAAAAATTTTAAATAAAAAAAAAAATAAAACAAATAAGAAAATAAAGTTTATTATATTTGTCTAAAATCTAAAATTAAAAAGCTAAAAAAAATATCTAAAAAAGAAAATAAATAAAAAATTAAAGTAAGGTAAGAAAATGAAATTACTATATTAAATCTAATTAAAGAATCTAAAGATCTAAAAAAAAAAAAAAAAAAAAAAAAATGTTTATTAATTAATAATTAAATAAATGAATAAAATGAAGTAAAGAAAGAAAATAAAAAGAATGAACCTATTATTTAAAATTTAATTAAAGAATCTAAAGATTTAAAAATAAAAGAAAATAATTCTTAATTAATAACTAAATAGTGAAACAATGAAAATAGAGATAATAAAATAAAAATAAACTATAAATGTAATATAATATAATATAATAATTTTAATTTTTAAAAATTATATAATTATATATAAGTATATTTTGATATAATCATATTATAAAGTGATCTTAAAGGATATGATTATAGAAAGAATTAACTATATGTTGTCTTATCATAAAGAAAATTTTATTTAAAATTTTATGTTATTTTAGTATATCGAGAATGATTACAAAAAGAAATTCTTTTTATAGATAATAAGTAATAAATAATAATCAGTTGAATATAAAAAAAGAATTGTTTAAAATATTAAATAAGGTTAATATATAAAAGATTATTTGAGATAAAAATGTAATTGATATGAAAAACTAAATTTGATGATAAAGATCAGAATGTTAGTAAATAAGAAAAATAAAATAGGGTAATAGTATAAATGAAATCTTGGTTAATTATATTATGCAAAAATATTTGCAACTGTTTTTAGATTTATGATTTATATTTTCTACTGATATTAATATTAAAGTTATTTATTAAAATAATATAAAAATTTAAGCTAAAACTATTAATAAGTATATTCATTAATTTTTTCTAAATTTGTAAATGATATTGAAATTTTTTTTTGTTTTTATAGAAATTTGAAAAGTAAATTTAAATTACTCTTAATTTAAATTTATTCTTAAATTGAAAGTTAAGAAAAATGATATGATCATAAAATGATTTTTGATTAAAAATATAAGAATAAAGGTTATTTTAAATAATTAACCTAACATTCTGACAATTTTGTAAATATTTAGATGAATAGAAAAAGTATTTAAAAGAATTATTATGTGAATTTTTATTAAGAAGATGAGCTTGTAATAAGATTAGATATGTTTTATTAAAATAAGAAATGTTAATATTAAGGTTGTAAAAAAAGAAACTAATATTTTGTAATTTAATTTTTGAGAAACAGTTTTAATATTATGAATAGCAAAGGAAATTAGATTTAAGTTATTAATAATATTTAAAAAAAATTGTTTAAAATAATATTATTATTATTAGGAATTGTAAAGATAATCCTATATAAATATTTACTTGATATACATTTATTTAGATGATATAGGTATCTTTTGAAATATGTTTTAGATAGTATTTGCAATATTTTTAATTTCTAATCAAGATTTTACAAATTAATTTTTAGATTAATAAATTTGTTTAAAGAAAAATTATTAGTTGAAAAAAGTGATTGAGTTTGTTTAAAAATAGGTTTAAATGAGAAATCATCTATCTTTTTGATTATTCTATAAGATAATTATTTTATTTTTCACTACAATAAGTTCATCTGCTAAAATCATTAGTTTATTGTCAATATCATTTAAATATTTCAAAACATTTCTTAAGGTTGATGCAATGTTTGCAAAAAACTGTTGCTAAATTGAAGTTTTAAGGCTATTTTCAAAATGTTTATATATGAACCATAATTTTAATATGTATTTAAATTATTATTGTATAAACAATTCTTAAAGGTTAATAAAAAGCTAATTTGAAATAATTATATAATTAGTAGTATGAGTTTGATGTCTTTGAGAGTAAATAATCTTTAGTTTTATGAGTAAAATTATCATATTAGTAATAGTATAACATAGCTGGATTAACTAATAGAGAATATTTGACTTGAATTTATAATAAAAGTTAAGAGTAATATCATAATCATCTTGATTATCAAAATTAATGTAAGCATAAACATGATTATAATTTTGAAAATCATGTGAGATAAAATAGGATTTGTTATGATATTAGCCAGAAAATTTAATAGATCTCATTAAATCATGTTAAAGGTAAACTAATTAACTTAAATTCAAATTATTATCTTAAGATTAATTGTAAAACATCAAGTTTTGTAAGTTCAATTTTGATAGGTAAAAGTAAAGATCATACATTTTTATAAAATAATTAATAGTATTAGATAATTTGTAAACTATAAATGTAATTTATTAAAGGTCTCTAATGATCATTGAAAATCTTAAAATAGTTTCACATTATTAAAAAAATTTTCATACTATATTTGATTTAATAAAAGGAATGTTATTAACTTATATCTGCAGTATTATCAGATACAAAAAATACATTAGGGAAGTGATTATATTAAAAGGAATATTTTCATGTTTTGCTCATGTGATTGATTAGATTTGTTTTTGTTATTTTTAACTTAATCAGCCTAAGAAATTTGTTTGTTTTTACTTTTGCTAGTTAAGGAAGATAATAAGACTGACTTGCTATTTATCAAGTTATTCTTGACATATATAGAGTCATTGATACTGGAGTCTTAAGGTGAGACTGGTGGAGTCTTTTTAATAAAATCTATTTCTATTTTGTAAACTTTGAAGCTGAAATAATAAATTGTGACTGGGTAGTATCTGATAAATTTTGTCAAGAGTTTGGGAGTTTCTGATTCAATTGAAATATTAACTGTATTTTGAAGTTTCAGTTTTCTATCTTTTTGCATTTTGAAAAATATTTTCTTTATTAAGATTTTTATCATTATCTGTAAAAGATGAGGCAGTTGTTTCTTTCTTGTTTTCAGAGGAGCTAGAAGTATTTTTGTTGTAAGATTTGGGTGTTTTACCATAGTTGCTTTTTCTTCTTGTTGTTGGTAACATTTTGAAAAAAGATTGGCAGAAAGAGTTTTTTTTTAATCAAAAATAAATCAAATAAATCAAATAATATATTATCAGATAAATTTTAGCAAATGGTAAATTTGATAATAAAATTTTGGAACGTAGCATTGAAGTCGTTTTTTTAAATCAGATACATCTATTCTCTTAATAGTTTATGTTATTTTTTAGCAAATTAATAAAACAATTTGGTGAATTTTATAAAAATATTCAGCAACTTATTCAATTCTATTATGATGGCTGCTTATATGTTAGATTTATGTTTTTATAAAGATAGATTTAAAGGCATTGGATGATATTCTTCACCAAATGATAATGAAAATAATTTGAACTTCAGCAATTTTGTTATTTAATTCCTAATATAATCGGCAGCTGCAGAGAGAATTTTCACTTTTGGATTGATTAATTGCAAAATCCGAAATCGATTACGTAATGCGCGTTAAAAAAGTTGGTGGAAAATTTCCGGATGATGAATTCCAAAAAATAAAGTTATATATAAAGGCAAGATGATAATAATGAAGGTAGCAAGGTCGGTTGAGAAATTTTTGGAGCGGCATGGTACTATGCGAGGGATGGGCTCCTGTGAGTATCAGCTTCGGATGTAGTTTCCTGGAATACTATTTATATCAATAGTATTCAATAAAATTTATATTTTAAATGAAATTGTTAAAGTTATGATCATTTGGAATATTCTGATTTTTGACAAGTATAAATCGTAAATAAATAAAAAGTTAAATAGATCTTTAAAATTTGAGTTGAGAAAAATCATTCATATATTGGTTTTATTTTTCCTAAATTATTGACCTTTTTTATATATGATATAACTTATATTAGAGATCCAACTCATTAGTTCAATTACCCATCGTTGATGTAAATAATAAATAAACCATTTTTATTTGAACTATTTATGTAATTTATAATGGAATGCTCGTAAATTATTTAATTTTATCGCTTTTTTCTCCCTTTGTTTTTTCCTCGTCTAGCTTCATTTGGATTTCTACGACCATAACCAATAACTGGTGTATTAGATTTTGAAAGATTTGATCCGATTAAGAGTCTTGGAATATAATCAGGATCAAAAATATCAATTTCCTTTTGTCTTCTTTGATCTTTTAATGCCTTTTGATATTCTTTTTGATCTTCACGAAGAATAAGATTCTTGACATGACGACTACTTTTTGGATTTGGTATTGAATACTTTGAGTGAAATAAATAATGATTAATTAGTATCTCAGGTATATAAATTGTTATATATATATATATATATATAAAAAAGCAATAACAATCCTTAAAGGAAATTCACCTTGCTTCCGCGTAAATTGTATTGAAAATTCTTTTTCAAGTAATAAATCACGTTACCATTCGCGTCCGTACTCGTAGATGTACGAATTAAAGTTGCATTTCCACAATTAGGACAAAATTGTTTCTCCATATTTGTAGTTATCCTAAGGAAACAAAATGTTCAGTTGAATTCAATATCTCATTCACAAGCCAAGATAACATCAAAAAATTACTTGTAACATGCGTGGCATCGAAGAACCCAGTTCTTCACCTTTCTGATCCTCTTTCCGTCAACCGATATCAAATTTAACCGCATTTGTAACAGAACATTCTTATAAATATTAAGTAAAAAAAAAAAAAAATTTTTAACAAATACTTTCGGAATTTTAGAATTAGTTCATTTAAATTATAAAGCGTTAAATTTAACATACTTGCATAGAATAATCTGTCGTCATACAAGCAATTTTCATATTTTCATCATCTTTTTTTAAATTGAAAACAAACTTTTGTTCTTTTGCTTGATATTCATCAATGTTATCCGGGGTGATCCATCCAAAATCATCGTCATCATAATCAACTTGCCGACCTAAAACTTCCAAAGAATCATTCGTTTTTTGATTTTTAGATGTTTGATCTGAATTTTTTATTTTATTAAAATTATTATTATTCTTTTCGGTGTCACTTTCTACAGTTACTCCATCATCTCCCATAACCAAATCACTCTCGTCTCTTTCTGAACTAGGTGCCTCAACTAAGGTGTCTTGGAGTTGTAAATGTTCTAAATTTGACACTAAATTCGCTTCATCAATTTGCTGCTGATCGACAATTATACGTTTTTCTTCGGATTTCGTTTTGGGATCTTTGGTGGAATTTTTATTATCACCACCCAACTGCGTACGAGACTTCAAAGATAAAATTTTTAATAAATTCATAAATAATTCAAATTAAATATTTTTGTTTTTTTTTAAAAAAAAAACGGATAATTTACTAATTTTACTAACGAATTTATTAAAAATTTATGATATTTACTTTTACAGGTTCTTTTCTTAACCGCTCAGTACCATTGGCTTCAACCTCAAGCATATAAGTTAAGGCCAAAACCCTTAGATCAACAGCAGACAAACTAGTAAAATCTCCGGTCTTTTTTGAAAAATTAACAACTATAAATAAGTTAAATAATAAAATTAATAATCTGAAGAGTGATTGAATTTTATTAAGAAATTTGAAACCTGCCCTCTTTCAATGCTTCATCTGATGGTACTTTAACTTGAATATCGAATGAGATTTGATTCAAAAAATCACGAGAACGTTTATCTCGAATTTCGGATATGACCTCAGGAACAGTATAAAGTTTTTCAGCAAATGAACGAATACTTGTTCCTTTAATTAAAGGACCAGAATCTACTACCAAACATTCAACTTTTTGCCCTTTATTATAATCAGGACTACATTTCTTCTCGGAAATATTCGTTGATAAGGATTTTGTAGAAATGGATTCTGTGGAAATGGTAGAAATGGACATTATTTTAAAGGATAGGTTAAAAAGATCTAGTGCGCAGCTAAACTTGTAAATTTTTTAGGTGACACGATATTATTATCGCAACATCTAATTGGTTGATACTTAAAAAAAAAAATTTATTGATGTTTAAACATTATTTAATCAATCAGCAGTTTGGGTGATTTCTAGTTTAATGCATTGTGTATAATTTGTCATTAAGTGAATAAATTAACCACTATCCTAATCTAAAATTTCTAATATTATAAAGCAAATATAAAATATTACAACACTTTTTTTTTTTCAAAGATTAAAAACATTAAAAAATATATATATATTAAAACAAATAATTTTGTGTTTCTAAGATTCATATGCAGGTAAAGTTTTTACAAATTTGTCAACTGCCGCCTTAAAATATTCATTATTAACACCTTCACCTCCGAGATGCTCCGTAGGTGACAAAGGATTTTTTACAACATATTCAACATAAAAGCTTGTATAAATCTGTCTTAGTATTTGTCGAAGAGAATCTATACCAGGATCAGTATTCATCACAAATTTCAATCCTGTTGGAGTCTCATAATAATGAAGCTTATAGTTCGATGTTTTATATGCTAAAAATCCGTCTTGACTAAAAGAATAAATTTTGTGAAAGAAATTAGTAATCTAATATCAAGTGTCAATGGAAAGTTTTATGATCAAGTTGTTCTCGATTAAATCACAAGATCACACCCTTTCAAATATTCACTTACCTTCCACTGAGCTTCTTAACAAAATTTCTTAAAGAAAACACGACACCATAAACTAATTTGGCCTCTTCCTCGATGTTGATCATTCGACCTTCTGAGAAAATGCTTGTTAAACTGGTAAGTTGTGAAGTTGTAGAATGATGGCTGGTAAGATGATTCGCCGCTGAACTATGAGCAGGTGAGGAGGAGGAGCCACCTGAATCACCTTCTATTTGACCATTCATGCTAGTGGTTGTGCTTGTGGTGCCAATGGCACTATTAACACCACCTCCGCCGCTTCCTGCACCACTTTTACGATGTCGGTGCCAATCTTGATAATAAATACACACACAATGACGATCAAATATGTACATATTATAAATCATTATGTTTTGATTAAAGAAGGGATCTGTTCAGAGAAGAAAATCGCAACATGTTTCGAAAAAATTATATTAAAATCGAGTTACACCAATGATGGTTTCTGATTGGATGTCGTAACAAGAAATGTTCATCTACCTCGATTATTGTGTTTATTGATCGTGTGATAAGTGATTTAAAATCAAGTAATCAATTCTTTGTTGAAATTGACCATATACCATTTTTGATTTATTTTCTATTTTGATTGGATGTTCATTAATAATCAAACCGGGGTGTTCAATAATACCCCATATATTTATTTAAAATCAAATTAAAAACATCAGCCAGCAAAGAAACAAAGGAAGATAAGCTATTATACTCATACTACAGTCCTAAAAACCAAACCCAACACTACGAGCTCCTTCTTGCCAGTAGATTTATTAAGATCTAGTTAGCTGCACGGATCTCTACCACTCCACGAAATCCCTTTTTTCCAGTAATTTGCTTTTCGGTACCGTCCCTGTCCTACTTGTTGTCTCCTTTTTTTTTGCCTAAACATTTTAAACACGCAACGAGAAAAAAAAAAATAAACACTGAAATGTACCTTTGCAATGCAAGTCATATTAGCCCACTCCTAACACTCACACCCCCAACACTTTTCCTTTTTCAGTGTCCCTAGTTACAACATTACCAATCCCCCAACTACCAGAATGTCTGACCGAGGTGAAGAAGTTGTACACTCCCCTGTTGAGCGTAAAAGGTCGCTTCCGTCTGATGACGAAGACGACGACCTAAGTGCTGACGAAAGAGGAGGACGTTTTAAACGTCCTGCTTTAAATACTTCTGGTGGAGAGGACGATAACTCTTCAGAATTAGACTATAACGATGAACCAACTGGTGTAGTACGTCCGGTAACCCCGTCAGAGCCTAGTGACATTATGGAGGTAAACGTTCGCTCTCCTACAGCGCCCGAGAAAGAAAAGGTCGAAACAGAGTCTACACTTGCCACTATTTCACTTCGTGCTCTTGTAACAACTAAAGAAGCTGGTGTCATCATTGGGAAAGGTGGAAAGAATGTGAGTGAAATTCGTGACAGATCTGGTGCTAAAGTGACCATATCTGAAATGGTACAAGGAGCCTACGAAAGAATCTTAACCGTTACGGGTCCTTTGGACACTGTTGCAAAGGTATGTCTTGTAGTAAAAGTTATGCTAACATCAAATTTTGCTTTGACGATATCATTGTTACAAGTAATGTTCGATTAGAAGATGAAATTCTGTGAATTATATAACTTGAATTATTCTTTTTAGTAGATTTTTATTTATTTTTATTTTTATTATTTATTTTTTGCCACAATTCTAATTTATTCACATAATGAATGTTTTGAAATAAATAATAAATTAATGAAAATTTTTTTTAAGGCATTTGCTCTTGTCGCGCGTAAAATCTTGGATGAGAATTTGGATACACCATCTACACCAACTTCTAAATCCACTACAATCAGACTTCTAGTACCTCATTCTCGGATGGGACCCGTGATAGGTAAAGGTGGATGTAAAATCAAGGAAATTCAAGAGAAATCCGGGGCTAGATGTCTCGCTTCTGAAGAAATGCTTCCTCAATCAACGGAACGTACCATTTCTATCAGCGGTGTTCCGGATTCCATCCATATTGCAGTTTTTCATGTTGGGGAAGAATTGGCTAAACATCAAAATGATAGACCTTCAGGAATCACTCCTTACCGACCTCAACCACGACTTCTTTATCATCAGACAGCTCCCGTTGCTGGTAATCCATTCTATGTTGGACTTCCACCAGGTCCCCCACATTATGGGCGTGAATTTATGCCTGGACCTCCGGGACCAATTAATCATCAACCACCGCCAGGGTCTCAGGCCCAACAGATTTTCATTCCTAATGATATGGTGGGTTGTATTATTGGTAAAGGCGGAAGTAAAATTAATGAGATTAGGCATCTCTCTGGTTCGCACATTAAAATTGCCGAACCTCATGGTAATACCAACGAGAGATTAGTTACTATTACGGGAACTCCAGAGTCTAATCAAATGGCTCTTTATTTGCTGTATAGCAGACTTGAATCCGAAAGAAGGAAACCAAGTGTGTAAGCTTAAGATAGCATTTATTTTCTTATGTTTATTTTAGAAAAGGGCCTACGGGCAAATTTTCTTAATCAAATTCCTTTCTAATAACATATTGTGACTTTTTATAAGTCCCATGAAGGGAAAAGCTGGTTGAAAAGATATGGTTTTTCCTCACATGTGACGTCCATGAAATGCATGGAGTGGTGAACCAAAAAAAATACAAATGAACATTTTTTCTTATATGATATCAAAAAAGTTACGATGCCAGGTTTTTTCATAGTATTATTTTTTTTTATATTCGATTTTATTAAATTCGTTATTCTTTTTTATTGTGATTTTTTTTTTTTTGATGAAATTTTTTTTTTTTTATCTTATTTTATCATGTTTTTAAAAAATTAAAAAAAAAATTTGATATGTTTACTTAATACAAGTCTGATAAAAAGGGATACGATTTTATCCAACGAATTAAATAAATGTCAATATAAGTGACAAAAAAAAAAAAAAATTCTCGTGTTTGTTTTACTATGAAGTCTTACATCATAATAGTGTTTGAGAAAAATAATATTTTTTTTTTTTTTTTTTGGCACGATTTTAGAAATTTGGCGCGAACGCACTCCTTATGCTCCCCAGTTTCAAATTTGATCTTAATATAGGCCTCTTGTAAATTCCGGTAAAAGTAAAAATTTAGCTAGACCCGGCAAAATATTACCAAAATTGATCTTGAATCAAATGTCACATGGCATCATTCTTTATTCATTATTCTTTTTTTAAATGAAATGAGCATCGTTACACTAAAAGTACAAGTACGATAGATACGATAAATGGGAATGATCAAAGCGTTTCTTTTTTCTTTTTTTTTTTTTATTTATTTATGTTTATTTTGTGCGTCAAATGTGCGGAGAAGATTATTATTAATATGTTTTTTTTTTTAATATTATTACAGTATTTATCAATGAGATTTGAAAAGGAGACAAAAAGGAAAGGTCTTGCATCATGATGCCATCAAATAAAAACATTCATTGACATTGGCCAAAGATCAACACAAACAAATCACACATAATGCAGCAGCTAATTATATAAGAAGAATAAAGATAAAAAAGGCGACATTTATCACGTGTCCAGTCGGTGTAGATGGCAAATTGGTGGGTATTTTTTTTTTTTTACTTTTCCACAACACCTGGTTAGAATTCGCGGGTTAGAACGGTGTAAAAACAATGTAGTATTTATTCTTTAAATTTATGATATATGAACATTAATTACGTTTAATTAGTTGTAATAAAATTATTAAGAATGGCCTTATCAACATAACATTAGCCAATGCTCCATGTAAGAAAGTTTTATTATGTAAAATTACTTTCTTTTTTTTTTTTAAAAAAAAAAAAAAATTCCTCATAACGAGAAATTTTCATTTATCATGAGATCGTTTTGAACATACTTTTCTCTAATCATCATAGCCTGAATTAAATCCCCCCATGATAATATAATCTGACAGGAAGAACATTTTCCACCAATCGGCAGGATCTCTTCATCCAATTCATCATAAGGATTTTGCAAAGTTGCCATTTCCAAGGCTTCAGATTTGGTAAATTTTTTTGCGAGGCACGTTAGGTGTGAGGACATGTTACATTCCATGTTTAAACAATTCAAATAATTCTTATGATCATCGAGATTAATATTTTCTAAACATAAATCACAGAATAATTTCATCTTTGTGTGATTCAAATATTTCGAGTACTCGTTCCTCACACATTTTCTAATCGATCCTTTATGATAATCACTAAACTCTTCTACTTTTCCGTGAGTAATCCTAATTTTCTTTGGTAAATTCGTTACGTCAAGGATCGTAGAAGCATTGATCCTTTTTTGTAAAGTAATCAATTTGAGCGGTACCATGATATGTAAATGTAACGGCCACCTTGACCAAAATTTGTCTCGCAACATTTTTGAAATGGCACGAAGCGATGTTGATAATCTATCATCATTCTCACGAAATTCATCATCGGACGTTAAGTGTAATCGACGCGTTTTTGAAGGATTTTGCCAACTCCACTCGAATTGTAACGCTGCCGTATGATTTGTGAACCCGTAGACGAAAAGAATCATCTCCCATGGTCTTTTACTTTCGGTTTTTTTGGCCCCTAAAGCTATCTCACCATTATGTTGACGTAACCGTCGTTTTGGATCGTTGGTAGACCCTATATAACAGGTCTGTCTATGGTTAGGTGCAAGTGAACGCAAAAGATAACAACAATAAAACTCCTCATATTTTGATTCCGGTGTTCCAGTGTTATTTTCGTTTTCTGTCAAGGTCATGTTCATGGTCATGGTTTGGTCAAACGTTATAGTTTACGCGTTCCCTTTATTTGGTTATCAAAAAGAGTGTGTTGTTATTGAAAGAGTGTTTTGAGTACGCTTTTTTTTTTTTTTTTTCTTTTTTTGTGGTAAAAAAAAAAAAAAGAAAGAAAGTGGTGTTTTCAGAATAGTTTATGAAGAATCTGACATGTATTTATTTTTATAAATTAAAAAAAAATAACGATTCACAAAATGATTGCCAAAAAGAGTCTCTTTTTTCATTTTTTATTTTTTTTTATTATTTTATATGTATATGCATATAAATTTTTTTTAACATGTTGCCACGAGCAGATATTTGATAAAATAAAACAAAAAATTTTTTACACGAGGGGAAAAAAAAAATTTACAGAGAAATTTTTGAAATGCGAAAAAGAAAAAAAAAAAAAAAAAAGTGAGAAAGTATAACAATCGAAATACTTTCTCCAAATATTGTTCATATCGCAAAATGTATAGAAGCAGCAAAAAAAAAAAAAAAAAAGTAAAAATAAATAAAAGTACATATAGCACTCTTAATTGTATACATTAAGGATATTTTTTATATTAACGTCTATCAAATTTTTTTACTTCTATTCATTGTCGCTGCTGCCATCGTTCAAAAACACCATTTACATCATTTTTGATTTCCTGTATAACACGTTGTCTTACGTCTTCGTCCCTTTTACGGACGAGATTCTCATACATCTTAATTTTTCGTTGACTATCCTCCAACATGCCAACAGCGCGTACCAATTTCTCTTGGAGAACCTTGATCGTTTCTCCATCATCGTTTGAAGGGATTGAAGTAGGTAAGAACATATTAGCGAAGTTTTGATCGCCGGTGCTTTGTTGTTGTTCATTCGGAATGTTTGCAATATTATTGCCGCTTGGCATCGCTGGGATGGAACCACCAGAGTTGGTCCATGATATTTGTCGTGCCATTGTTGGTGCGTTGACTGATTGACCCGCGTCTTGTTTTTTCTTTTGCTCCTTTTGGGAAGAGGAAGGTACATTGGACGAGGTGGTTAGATAAGATTGAGCAGCAGCAGACGATTTGAAACCGGTAGGCACGGGACCACCACCCACAGAGATACTACGCCAACGCAATTTTTGAGTACCAGCACCACTAGTTGCACCGGAATGAGACAATACCCTTTTGATTCCAGCGTCATTTCCACTGGAAAGGTTCATGTCTGGCAATGTCGGCGAAGGATTTGGTGTAGGAATATTTGAACCTTTATTCGGTTCGATCAAGTGTGGTAGGAAATTCGATGCAAACTGTGATGGGTATTGACGATAATAACGGCTTGAATCGTTTTCAGGGTTGCCTTCTTTATTAACTCCCAATCTACCCCCAACGATATTTTCAACTTCTTCCTCCGCTTCATCCTTAACCCAACGAGGACCAAAACCTACCTGGACAACATTTTTTCTACGCTGACCCGTTCCAGTCGTTTCCACTGGTCGTTCAGATTTTTCTTCATCGTAGCCTATCGCCCATGGGTCTTTATCATCCTCTTCTTCCGACCCTTCGTTGTCGTCAGAATATGAATGTTTTGAGCGTTTAATCCTGTGCTTACTATCAACACCTTCATCGACCTCCTCGCTCTCAAAGTGAACATCATCATCTAGCTCAACATTATCGATACCCCGAGAAGCATCTTCGTTTGCAGTTCCATCGCCAGAAGTGTTTGTACTTTTACGTGTATATTTTCTCTTTTGACGTTTACTTCCAGCACGTTTTATTAATTTCAAGACGACGTCTGATTCGTCGTCACTTGCTTCGATTGGATTTTTTTGTGGCATTTGATAATATTCATTGGATCGTGACAACAGGTAATCAAAATAAGCATCTACATGGACTGAAGCCATCCATTTCTAAATTAATAATAAATTTGGAAAAAAAAAAATCGGATTTTCATTCATGTTAAACGCAAATATAAAAAAATTTTTTTTTTTTAAAAAAAAAGAAAAAATAAAATAAAATAAAAGAGGAAATAAAGTAGGGTAAAATTATACAAAATAAGTAAAATAAAGAGAGAAAATGGTCCGAAGAAAATAAAATAATGGGTAAAGGGGGTCACGAGGATCTGTGCAGGTGTGACTAAAAATAAAAAAAAAACGAGTTTTTTTGAAAATTTTTTTTTGTTGATCGAATAAAAAGTAGTGTAACAAAAGATGTATCATTAAAACCGATAGTGTAACGATTCTAGAATGGTGAACACAATTAAACAGGTTTTTTTTCCTGTTCATTTGAAAGAAAGGATTCAAAAAACGGGGTGTGCATAAGGTAGTTTCTTTAAAGAGAATTTTAACAGTAATATTAAGGACTTTAAAAGGAAAGAAACATTTTACAAGGAAAAAAAAGCCTACAATTATAATAATAAATAATGATCGTATTACACAAACCTTCAATCTTACAGCATATTGTTGAATTTTTTGAGGACTAGCTTCAGGGGTACGTACAACACCCAATTTCTGTGCCAACTTTGTCCATGTTCTGATTTCTCCAGAATAATGCTTACCGACAAGTTGGTAAAGGGACCAAGTTTGAAATACTTTTCCATCAGATTTGGGGACGGCATTAAAAGAGCGAATGAGTGCAGCCGTATCTAGAGTTCCTGGTGCCGATGGGTTACAGTACATTATAAATTCAACAAAACGATCGGCAATGTTTTCCTGGTTTATTCCTTCCTTTGGTGGGAGTTGACGACCATTTGTACCAACAACGGAAATTTGGCCGAGATCGGCATTCGCAGTCGTAGAACCTGTTCGTTTTGTCATAGTTTGAGCAGGTGACATGGGAGAAGTGGGCGTCTTTTTAGTGTCCATTGTTGATTGTTCAGTTTGTGATAAGACGGTATTTGTCACAGATTTTGATGTATTTCTCGTCCTTCGAATGACACGTGGACGTGTCGGATCATCTTTTGTAGGTTTTCTGATATATTTTCGTTTATTTTGATTTTGCCCATTGGTGACGGGAGGATTTGTAATGATTTGCGTTTCAATATTTGGCATCGTAGCATTAACATCGTTAGTAGGTGGAATGATCGATTCCGTTGACGTAGTCACATTTAAGGTTTCACCGATAATAGCTGTTTCGTTCATGTGAGATGGTGATGTGGTAAAAGCGGAAGCGCTTGTTGTCTCTTGTTGCTGTTGTTGTTCAAGTACTTGGTTTTCAAAATTGGTGATTACTTCTTCATCGATGTTCATCTGTTGGTCAGTTTCTTGAGTTACATCCAAATCGTCTTTATAAGGCAACGTAAAGGTTCCGGTCGGTATTAATTGCTGTTGCTGTTGTTGTTCCGCTGGGGAAGGCATGTTTTTATCGATACAAAACTAACGTGAAGATATCAAAAATAGGAAAGAAGAAAAAAATTAACAGAGGTGTTTTTTTTTAAAAAAATAAGTAACAGGTTTAAAGATAAAAAGACGAAAGCCAAAGAGGAAAAAAAAGAGTTTTTGTTCCTTTGTTTTTTTTTTTTTTGGGTAGGCAAAAAAGTAAGTTAAGTCGTAGCGACAAACATGAAAAAAAACAATTATTTATTCTCTTTTCGTTCCTTTCTCTTAAGGGAGGTTTGGATTCAAAAGGGTAACATAAGGAAGAAAAAAGAGAATACTAAGTTTTACCTATTATGTATGTGCGAAATATTTTTTTAGAGTGTGCAATTTCAAGAGAGGAAGAGAGTCTGGTTTTACAAGGTTTTGTTTGTGTAAACACGAATATGCGTTCTCGAACCCTTTGGTTTTTTTTTTTTTTTTGAAAAAAAGAATTGCTAAGAAAATTATAGGAAAAAGTGTAAAAACAAAATAATAAAAAAAAAAATAAAAAAAAAAAAAAAAAAGAAATGTTAATAATACTACCTCCGAAAAAAAAAAAAGGTAAATAAAAATTACGAACCCAGCGAATAAAATTCAAGTGTACCAGGGATTAGTTTATGACGTATAACCCAAAATGGACAGTAATATGACGTAAAATTAGAGAATTACACAAAATCAACAATGGGAACCTAAGAATTTTGTAATATATATATTATATATATACACATGAGAAACAGGAATAGGAATGAAAAAAAAAAAACGGATAATAAAAAAAAAAAAAATTAAAATAAAAAAAAAAAATAAAAAGAAATAATGAAAACTTTTTTTTCAAATGTTAACAAAAATTCTCTCCGCAGGACTAGGAGACAAAATTGATTTACAATAAGTTTAGTGTCGAAAAAAAAAAAAAAAATAAGTACAATAAAGCCAATAACAATACGTTAAACTTAAATACTAATAAATAATTCCCTCATTTAATTATGATAAAGTACGACATGATAATAAATGACAATTTGTATTAATGAAGTTAACAAATAAGCATGAAATAGTAAGAACATTTACCTTTTATTAAGCAAAAGACGAAAAAAAAAATAATAATTATAGATAGTGGATGGATAATTTGACTAGAATATTTATAACGAAAAAAAAAAAAGTTAGCAATTGGGGAAAAAGAAGCCTTATAGGTGGATGGAAAATTCGGAGCAAAATAAAAAAAAAAAAAATAATTGCAAAAGTTTTTGGCGTGAAAATAAATATAATTTCTAAGTTGTAAGTATACAACTTCCTGATTTGGTTATATTGAGAATATATTTGGAAGTAGGCGTTTAAATGTGTATATTTTTATTAATATTTTTTTTTTTTTGTTTATTAGTGTTTTTACTACTACAAAGAAAAAATAAAAAAATAAAAATAAAAATAAAATAAAAAGAAAAAAAAAAAAAAGAAAAAAAAAAAAGAATTTATATAACAATTAATAATAATAATAATAATAATAATATAAATTGACGGTTAAGTAATATAAGAGAAGAATTCATGCTATCACCAACGAGAGAAAAGATTGACGAACGCCGAAAAAAAAACAACCGAAAGCAAAAAAGTAAGTAAAATAAAAAAATAATATTTGCACACCCATGAAAAAAAAAAAAAAAAAAAATGTATTATATATATATTTATATATGTACTTGCATTCATATTATTATATAAGCTGATATTGAATTTACATTACAACAAATATAATAATAATATATTTAAATACATTATATAATATATATATTCTGATATATAGCATTAAATCCGATCCTTTATGAACTGTCCAAACAATGGAACAATGGGAACCTAACTAAAGAAATAAATAAATCAATTTGGTGTTTATATTTGGCATATGCCATTATTAGAATCTATTAACTCAGGAAAAATTAGTAACATAAACTCGGAATCAAAATCAACGAAATAATGGTTTCATTGTTTCCGGCAATATCCCTGTCAATCGTTTGATTTCGAAAGGTTTTAGAATATAATCTTTTTGTGGAATCATAAATTTCTTGTGTGCCTGATCGTATCACGTAATTAGCCACTAACCTCAAAATTTGGCGACGATTCGAACTAGGCAATTTCCAAATCCGGACCGATCTAACCTCCTAGTTTTATAAATGAAACACAACTTTTGTATTCTACTAATTATGGCTTTATAGTTTCATTTTAGTATTAAAAAAGTAACCAATATTTTGGAGAAAGGATAATAATTATTGTGTTGCTAGTCCTTGTGCGACCTTTTTCTCATTGTGATTGTGTACCTCTATAAACATTTCTCGAGAATTAAGGTTTGATACTTACACCTTCAATTTGATTTGTGATTAATTTGTGAACGGGATTCGATCCAAATTTGGTCGATTCAAATCACACATCATTTGTCAAGTGGCTCATATAACTCTTATTGCAGTTTTATTGATTACACATTTCTAAACACTTTTTTCATTATCATGTATGGTCCGTTTGAATGAATTGACTTTCAAGGAATCTTAAAATATTCCCAAATGATTATTCCAAAGAAACTGAATAGAGGCGTATTCTTAATATTAATTTCGGTTATTTCATTTGCTAAAAAGAGTAATGGGTTGAAGGGGAAAAAAAAAATTTTTTTGGCGGGTAAAGTGTGTATATATATGTATGTAACATCATCTAATACCTATTTTGTGTTATGTAAAATCATTTTCTTTGTGTGGAGTGCTTTGCAATCACAATCATTCTAATAAAGATTTAGGTCGTTACAATCATTCCATCCACCTAAAAGGCTCAAAAAGATTTTTTTTTTTTTTTTTTCTTTTTCTCCTCAACTTTTGGAATAGGTGGCTATATTAGGTGGCGTAGCATGTCTATAATCTCTTGATTTATTGAAGGGGGCCCGTTCTGGTGCGTCGATCATGATCAATGTATTTGAATTACTGTATGCGCGGATATTTGGCTGTGAAAAACCGCATCAAAAAAAAAAAGCCATTCAATAATTATAATTTGATTGAAAACCCATCATAATGATGTTAATTCATTTTTTTTAATATACAATTTTATTATTGATATGTATATAAATATTTATAATTGACGTAACTGATTCCCATCAGATGTCGTGTCATTGGTATCTTATTATTTGTCATCATATTTTTTTTGCCTGTATGAGAAAATTTTTTATTTTTTTTTTTCCTCCCCTAAATGGTAAAATTCTTCTTTTAAAAAAAAAGATGAAAAATTAGCCACGCGTTCTTAATATGGACAATAAAGAAGCATTGGTCAGATATCATCACCTTCCTGAGCAAAGTATTCTTGACCAATTTAAACGGCGGGACGGTCAATCTTTATCGTAAGATCAATCCTTCTCTTCATCAAGGTGTCAATTCCATCTTTGTATCACGACATATCTCTCCATCTTCGCCGTTTAGGGATCGTGCTATTCCTGAAATTACGAATGATTTGCTTCCATCTTTTCCTGTGGGAAGATTTAAAGTTTCATCCCTCCTGGAAAGGAATCGTTCTTCTAACCTTTCTAAAAAGGTGAATTCACGTCAAAGAAAAAAGGTATCCGATTTACCAAAAGTATCTTAGTCATAGTCGATCATGGTCAAACTATAAAGTTATGGGGGTCCCTGTTGCGTACAATGGATCATTTTGAATCCGTACGTTCATAAACAATACGGTTCGCTTCAATTACTTCCCTTTTCGACTTATCTCAATAAACAATCCCGCTACTTTAAAATTTTCATATTCGGTGTCGCCAACTTTTATGCACTGTACATGTACACATATTTTTATTTTAAAATCAATTATAAATAATTATTATTATTATGCATAGCAAAAAAAAAAAAAAAAGTTTCTTTTAATTATTTTGAAACAAAGTCGTGTGATTCAATAAGGATCGACATCGGGCGACTAATAAATTTTTTGTTTTCTTTATTTCAATTTTTTTTTTTTTTTTTTTTTTATGCAGGAATTGGCTTTACCACCAAATAAGAAATTCGTGGCCCTCGGCAGGTGAAAATGACGTCCCTATCCTCCCTCTTTAAATACATTTGCGTTAAACAAGTTATTTGCGTTCAAATTATTATTTTTTTTTTCATTTTTCATTTTCGTTTTTATCTGTATCGTTTTGGTAGATAGGAAATCCTATGGTATCATTTATACGATATGGACTTGCATATTTCTTATTCCAGCTAAGTAATGATAATTAATTGCCATGTGCCGCAGCACCGCCTGACGTTGTGACACGTGGATTAATCTTTCTTACATTCATTAATCTTTAGCTAATTACGTTGAAAGAACATTCGACGTATGTAACCGCCGTCGGATATTGCAAAAGTTTAAGACGGAACCCTGAAATTTTTGGACATAAGATACCTCGGTCCTCCATTGTGAGAGATTTTATCATTACAAGTATTCACAAATTAAGGATTAAATATTGCTGAATTTAGCGAGAAAATTTATATATATAGGATAAAAAGAGGCAGCTATTACATTTAATAACATTTTGACCGATGTTTAAGGAATCATGATAAGAAATCCATGATAAATGTAATTGGTGTCATGTGATCAAGACAGATCTGGATATTAAAAATGAAAGGGGACTTATGTAGGTACAATATGATCCAGTTGTGATCTTCACCGTTACAAGCGGATGCTTAAATCTATGACAAAGATCGTAGTCCAACGTTCGGTAGACATTTCCACGATTGGACAATATTAATTTCCGGAAATAGTTTGGTAAAAATTTGAAAGGTTCATTCCGTCAAATTTTTGTACTTTCCAGCTTTATTAATTGACGAAATCATATTTCATTATAGGGATAGTGTTATGTCTAAGTTTGGGACTTTGGGGACTTTCATAACCAAAATTACATAAGGCAGTGCATCACGCGTTGCTTTATAGTTCTGCATTGCGAAAATCATGTGACAGGACATTTGATATACAATTTTCTGTCTTTTTAAAATCTTTGATGCTTTTAAATAATTATTTTTATAGAGAATTACGTCCGCAGATTTAACGGGAACATTTGTTCTAATGATTTTCCTTTTGGAATATCATCCTCTGATAATGAGTTGTCTAGTGGGAAAAATACTCCCAATAAAAGTCAGAGTGATGAAATAGACGACAATTTTATTCAAATTTTGAGAGTTTAAACATCCAAGAAACAGTATTAAGAACAGGTACCCTGGGTATTTGATTGTGCTTGGTCCAATGGTTCGAGATTATTTATTATTGGTAAAATTCGGGAAACAAGATGATAAATATCCTTTTGGAATTCGACTAACCTATTATATCTTTTTGTGGATTATGAGAATAAGTTTCATCGGATAAGAATATAAGGTTGTGGAATGTTGAAAGGGGAGAGAAAAGGTCATGAGATTGCTTCATGAGAACGATCTAATGTGAAAACGGAGGCGCATAAGTTAAGTCATTCATAATAACTGTAGCGATTAATGTTTTACTTTTTTTGTTTAACAAAAATTTGCATGCGCATATCAAATGAAGTTTAATTAATTTTAAGGTTTGTATTTTTAGAAAGTCTCATACCATTTACAGATATATGAACTCTAGAATAGCAAAATTAATCTTGATCCTATGATGAAATTACGGAAATCGCAAATTACTACTTTTGCTAATGATTACCTCTTTTTTTTTCAAAAAAAAAAAAAACAATGCTGTATTAAGTTAATGCTTTAATGTTACACGAAACGAGTTTAATTCGCGCTAACATTAGTTAGTTATTTTCTATCAATAATATTTTGAATTAGTACTTTATTAGAAAGTGGCATTTTTACATATAAAGTTAATATAAAAAATGGGGTGCTTGGATTTTTTCATTGTTAACAAAGCTTTAAACCTATTTTAGTTCTTAAAATAATATATTTAATGCATAGATTTATTAGTATTTTAATTAATATTAATTAAAGATTAATTATTTAATTCTAAATTAAAGATTTATTATTATTATTATTTTATAAAATAAAAATAAAAATAAAAAAAAATATAAACTAAAATAATTAACTTTAATTATATATAATCAAATTCAATTATATTTCTTTATATTATTAATAATTTCAAATTTTTATTTACAATCTAAAAATTACAAATATAATTTTAGGTTTATAAACTTAAAACTTTAAGATTAAATTTTAATATATAAATAAAATATATAAAAATAATATAACATATAATTATTAATAAATAGTACTTTTATATAAGATAAAAATTATTAAAATAAAAGCAGAAAAAAATATAATACATTATAATAGATATTTTGATTTTGATTTTTATTCTTATAGTTTTATCTTAATAATTATTTTAAAATTTAATTTTTAACTTTAACTAATAATTATTCTTATTTTAATTTTATATTCTTATTTATATTTTTTATAATTATTTTATTTTAAATTTAAAACAAAATAAAAGGTAATATATTATATTTTAATCTAATTAAATTAAAATAAGATATATTTACTTAAATTAGATTATGACTACTACTTTATAATCTAATTAATATATTACAATCTAATCATTACTTTATAACGTATATAATATAGATATAACCTAATTACTATATCATAATCTATTTATTACTTTATAACTTGTATTATATAGATATAATCTGATTATTATATTATAATCTAATTATCAATTCATGACTTGTATAATATAGATATAACTTGATTATTATATTATAATTTAATTATCATTTTATAACCTGTATAATACAATTATTCCTTAAACTGTAGAGGTTCGCAAGCAAATTTGCCTGCTTATTTACTATAAATTCCCTTCTGATTTACTTTTATGAAAAATTAAAATGTTTAAAAAATTTTTT